ATCATCACATTTGTGCATATCAATGTGAATCCCCCTGCAATGTCAATTAAACATTTCATGAAAGATAGAATACAGAGCCATTAAAGTATGGCTGGTATAGTTTTTGATAATAAGGCTTTGTTTAGTGTCACTTTAAATGTATCTAACCCCAAATTTATAATGTTTTGTTAAATTAGGAAAGGGTTAGAACCTTTGTCAGGTTTTTTTTTTTTTGCTCTGTGCACCGTTAAGCTTTGCCCATGGTATTTATTCTGATGACCATTGTCACTGGTAGTGTCACAAAGTGGGAGAAAATCCAAAATTTTGAGTTGTTACTGGAACAGGACTAAGGGAAATCTTCCAATGGGTACAGTGAGGAAAGGATTTACCAACTTTTAACCACTTTATAACAGGCTAATGACGGCTACAGCATGGTTGTCCAGTTCTGGGAGGGCGTCATAACGTCCTTCCTAGAATGCACCCTTCGAGCGCATCCGGCGCTGTCTGTGATTGCTGTGTCCTATGGACACTGCTGGCCACATGAAAAGGTAAAAGGCCAATCACAGCAGCCTTTTACCACATGATCAGCTGTGTCCAATGACACAGCTGATCACAAAGTAAGTACAGTTGCCGGTTATTGGCAGCACTTTCCTCACGCTGTCACAGTGTGAGGAAAGTACTGTCGTTAACTGGCAAGTGTCACAGAGGACATCTGCACTGATAACCATGGCACTGATGATCAGCGCCCTGATTATCAGTGCAGCCCCAAAAATGCCCAGCAGTGCCACCCATCAGTGCCCATCAGTGCCGCCTATCAGTGCAGCATCATCAGAGCCTCCTCATTAATTCCCACCACTGCCGCCTCATCAGTTCCGCCTATCAGTGCCCATCAGTGCTGCCTATCAGTGCTGCCTATCAGTGCAGCCTCATCAACGCACATCAGTTTACCTGTTTGCAAAACGTTATAATAGAAACAAAGAAAACTTTTTTTTTTCCAATTTTTTGCTCTTTTTTCGTTTTATAGTGCAAAAAATAAAAAAGCCCAGTGGCGATTAAATACCACCAAAAGAAAGCTCTATTTGTGTGAAAAAAATGAAAATTTCATACGGGTACAGTGTTGCATGACTGTGCAATTGTCATTCAAAGTGCAACAGCGCTGAAAGCTGAAAATTGGCCTGGGCAGGAAGGGGGTAAAAGTGCCCAGTAGGCAAGTGGTTAAATAGAGTTTACATACACTTTAGGACACAATGGAAAGCAAGAGGAGATCTAATAATAAATTCCCCCAATATTCTCCCTTTTGGTCTGTAAATATACTATGGAAAGCGACTGTTATATTTGGTCATTCAACCTGAAATCTTGATATCTGCTAACTTCCTGTACTCCCTGCCTCTGGACCGTTATTAGTTGCATTGTTCCCTGCTATCTCTGCAGACTACAAAACAGCTCCCATTGTTATGATGATGAAAAGAGGGAGGTATTATGTAGGCCTAACACATTCCCTATTCTAGGGAAACAACACTGATCAGTATGGTTATCATCATAGGACAGGGTGAGTTAGTGGCAGGATTGCCTGGGAAAAAAGGAAAAAAGTGTGAAAAAGAAAACTAATGCAGCCACCATATCTAGGGGCTGGTAAGCTGCAATACTCTCGATTGTTGGTTAATTATGCTTTTACGAAATTCCCTCCTACATCTAAAACTAGTTATTAATCATAACAGTTAAAATAATTATGGATATCTATAAACTTTAATACTCTGGGGATGAAGGAAATAAGCAAGTTGAGCTGCTCTGTCCACACCTCCCTTTGCTCAATTTTCAGCTCTTCTGTAGGATTTCAAAGGAGTACCTAACCAGCCCCAAAATATAATTCTACCAGTGTGCTTGGGGTCTAGCTGGGTTTTCCTCCCAGTTGTCCAAATACAGCACCTTGCGCAGCCTACCAGAGGGGATCCATATGACGCTTCTCAACCTTCTCAGCTAGCACTTTTTGGTTTGGAAGGAAGGTACTGTATCTCTCCTGCAAAGGAAATTTGGGCTTCTATTCTTGCTACTGTAGCCCTTTTTTTTACAAACATGATCCACATTGCATGCATGCTGGTCTTTCAGATGTTCCAGTGGTCATATCATCAACCTCTCTTGTGTGGATCAGCTGCTCCATATAGAAAGGTTTCCTTTTGGTCATTGGACACCACAGCTGCAATATAATTTTTGTTGATTATGTATATCCATTAGAAATTGTTCTAATGCCAGCTAATTTCTGATACGTTTCTGACCATATACAGTATCTGTTTATTGTTCTTGTTTATAAGCCGATTTGTAAATTTGGTTTTATTAGTATATTGTTGGAATACAATATTCATGTATTTTGTGCAACAACTACATCAGTATTCAGTAGAGATCCGTTCTTCAACCAGTAGATGTCAGATTTTAGAGGTTTGTAGCTGTATCTATGGTAGCTATGGTGTCTTTACTCTGAATAACATTTCCTGTTTCCTTGTTGCAGTGAAGCAGAAAAGCACACTTGGAATGTGCATTGTCTGTTCTGTAGAGCTATATACAGAATTTCTAACACACACACACATATTTAGTGTTTTGTGCATTATCCCATTCTGTCGATGAGCAGCCTTGGTGTTGAACTCCCCAGTGGCATGCCCGCCCATAGGTCTTAATGTGCATAGTGAAATACCACATTAAACTTACCTTCCTCCTACACACACAGTCCAGTGGAAAGTCATCATCCCCATCCGTTACTCTAAAATAGAAGTCTGAGCCACAGATCATTTAAACACAGCCCCTATCACACACAACACCCACTCAGGCAGAACTTCTGTGGTTTGGTTGCCAGCAACCCACACAGGGCTGGAAAGATCTTTACCACTATGTGCTGATATCTCAGTCTGCCTTTCGGGTTGACTTGCGTCTGAAGTATCAAACTGCACCGATAATCACTTTGTTCTTTTCCTGATTGCAGTTGTTTTATCCAGTGTAGTGGCACATTAATACAGAACTGTAATACAGATTTGCTATATATTTCTCTATGTATTTCCTATTAGAAGAAAACAATAAAGTGGTGTATTCAGTTTACTCCTATATCTTTAAAAACAGAAAAGCATCGAGAAAATCGAGCCAGTTCAACATACTTATTAGCATTTGAAAATAGTGTATAAGGGCGTGTTTTGATCAAGTGTATCTAAATGCACTTATATATTTTGTATAAATAGCAGTAGGTAGTTTTAAGAGTGAGCAAAGTCCCTCTTTGCAGTACTAGTAGTTACAGGGCTGAGCTCCTCAAGTACAAGCCAGTTACAAAAGACTGCAACAGCCCAAAAGTAACATAGCTGCGCAAAGTACTTTGCAGTAGCAACAATTGGACAAGCTCTTCCGAACACTAGTCAGTGTTCCCCATTTTTCAGACCCATGCTGACTATCAAGCACTAGAGTGGTAGCAAAGTACACAGAGTCCCCAGTGTCTGTACTCACAAGCCCAAAGCCAGAATGGTCGCCTCAGTCCAATCTTCCAAGCGACTCTCTCTCCAGTGATACCAGACAGATCTTTGGCAGACAGCTGCCCTCAGTCATCGTACTGTAGGACCAGGGTCACTCCTTCCAATCTTCTAAGTGACTCTCTCAGGTTCTCTCCTTCCAATCTTCCAAGCGACTCTCTCAGAGTCACTCCTTCCAATCTTCCAAGCGACTCTCTCAGGGTCACTCCTTCCAGTCTTCCAAGCGACTCTCTCTCCAGTGATACCAGACAGATCTTTGGCAGACAGCTCCCCTCATTCAGCATACTGTAGGACCAGGGTCACTCCTTCCAATCTTCCAAGCAACTCTCTCTCCAGTGATACCAGACAGATCTTTGGCAAACAGCTCCCCTCAATCAGCATACTGTAGGACCAGGGTCACTTCTTCCAATCTTCCAAGCGACTCTCTCAGGATCACTCCTTCCAATCTTCCAAGCGACCTTCTCTCCAGTGATACCAGGCAGATCTTTGGCAGACAGCTCCCCTCAGTTAGCATACTGTAGGACCAGGATTGCTCTCTCTAAGTTCAGGCCCTCAGGTCGACCCACCTGAGGCCACATGGCAGTCAATGCCAGGCAAGGCAGCCTGCCTTCATCCTTGCTGTTCAATCCTCTCCCAGGAAAGACGGTGAACCCACGTGTTCCCAGAACATCAATACCACTCTCAGCATGCAATGGGGCCACCTTACCCTGCAATTGGCCAGTCCTGTATCCATATTCATGATGTTCATTTGCCTAGCCCCTACCCATGTTCTGGAAGGCTCTCATAGCTTCCTGAAGGCGGGCAGAACTCAGACAAACCCAAACAACACCAGAGCATCATGAGCAGACCTGACTAATCAATCAATTACAGCCCTCTGTTAAGCAGAATACCACAATTTACCTTACAGCCTCTCTGGCAAGCAGAGAAACACAGCTATGCTTAAAGTAATTATATAAATCCTAGCAGCTAACTTGGAGGCTGCTACACTGGATACTATCTTGGAGGTTCACATGACTTCATATGGACAATCAATGTGTTATTATTAAACTGGATTGTAAATATTTTGTTTCATTTAAAAGGAGAAAGTCCCTTAAAGCTAAATTTACGCATAAGAACGGGATAAAAAAAAAATGTTCTTTAAGGAAAATATATTTCACATTACTGTAATAATTATGCTACCAAAATTAGTGTGTGCTGTAATACGCCTCCAGCAATGTTCCTATTTGCTGGAGGCTGCCATTTTGCTGAAGCCCAGAGCCACTGAGCAGCAGTAAATCTTTAGGCTGCAAGCAGATTAGTCTCTACATTTTCGGCACAGTGCCAAAAAAATAGAGAGCAACTGAGCATGTGCAGAGTAGGGTGAGACAGTGTTTACTGGATTTTAAACCGTATAGGCACATTTTTTTAAATGTTTTACATAGCTATTAGCTGTTAGGCGGCACTGACTGGCACTGATAGGCGGCACTGACTGGTACTGATGCACACTGATAGGCGGCACTGACTGGCACTGATAGTTGGCACTGATTGGCAGCACTGATAGGTGGCACTGATTGGCATTGATAGGTGGCACTGACTGGCACTGATGGGTGACATTGAAAGGTAGCTCAGATGGGCACTGATATGTGGCATTGATGTGCACTGGTATGCACTGATATGTGGTACTGATGGGCACTGGCACGTGGCACTGGCACATGGCACTGATGAGCACTGACAGGTGGCACTTCTGGGGCCACACTGATCATCAGTGCCCTGATGATCAGTGTACATGTCCCCTCTGCAGAAAGCCGATTACCGGCTCTCCTCTCCTCTCGAGCTGTCAGCGTGACAGCTCGAGAGGAGAGAAATGCTGATAACCGGCATTTCCGTGTTTACATGTGATCAGCTGTGATTGGACACAGCTGATCACATGACCGAGCCGACATCTTCGGCTCTTTCCGTGATCCGCTGTGTCTGAGGGACACAGCGCTCCGGCGATCGCCGTGCTGCGCGCTCCCTGAGCCGCACATGCGCAGTGAGAATGGTAGGACGTCATATGACGTCCTATCAGAACGCGAGAACCACCCGTCATTGTACTATAGGGTAGGCGGAAGGTGGTTAATGCTGACCCCATCACTCTATGCGTCACACTTTCTTGGCCCAAAGAAGCATAGCTGCAAGTTTTTTTTAACCATACCCTTTTAAGCCCTGCCCACTGTTACTGTAATTTGGTTACACCCATGCTTTGCTGCCCCATCTAATGGTACCCAACGTATTTCGTCTTTTTACCTTGAATGGCTGCCTCAATGTCTGTTTCAAAAGCTTGTGACCAATTGTTTTAGGGCATTTTAAAAATGTGGGTGTAGCACCCTCCTTGAGTACTGCAAATTGTTAGGCAAATTTAGTTGGCTCCTCTGTAGTCAGTGGAGCAGGGGTTGATTATTCAAGGCTGCTCAGAGTCTCACAGGCTGCTACTGATTACTTCCTACTGTATTCTAGATAATTCTAGAATAATAGTGGGAGGAAGACCAGAATAAGCAGCCTCGGGAACATCGTGACATCACATCTATAGGCTCTGCCCTGCACATTTCGTCACCAGATGTCTTCACGGAGCGGAGCCTGTGGATGTGACATCACGATGTTCCCGAAGCTGTCAGCGTCTGTGTATGCCGGAGGAGGCTGGGTTCGTCTCTGATACTGAGAACACTGTTTTTGCTGGTGTTGGCTGGGGCACCTTGTTTGTGAGTGAAATGGTATATATTATTTTAATAAAAATGTTTTAATGATACTGCATCATGAGCTTTCTTCTCTTGATTCCCGAGTACTGCTATGATCATATGAAGAGGCGGTGACCATAAGGCGATATCCCATCTTTTACTGAGTATCCTCCTGCAGAATATTGCTCCTAGACCATATGAATATTGCTGACGATTTTCCTGCAGAGTATTGCTCCCAGAGCAGAAAGCGCTTATACTGGTTTATAATTTAATCAGCATATGGCTCTGGTGAGTTTATTTATTTACCTGGTGGTGGATTTATCGCGGTGAAATTATTTGGACACTGGAATTTTTGATTTGAAAATATTTTTGGTTAAAGACACAAAAAGAAGAGGATTATTTGTCACTGGTGTTTGAAATTTATTTGACACATATTACTTATACTTATGCTTCATATTTGGATACTATGAATTATTTAGCACTGTAGATGGTATTAGATTTTGATTATATAAGTGCAAACCTGTTTCACTGTTAAAAAATAAATAAAGCCTGGGATGGATGAATGAGAGGGGGTTGCTGGAGCAGCTGTTGGAGTGCCCCACCTTCCAACACTTCCATGCCAGGCCAGGCTCGGCAGGCACTTCAGCTCCAAAGCTGTGGCCTTCCACCTGCCTGGGAGCCAAGAGAGCTAGATCCTGCTAAGGAGGAAGAGTCTGGGGATGACCCTGACAGAGGAGGACAAGGAGATAAAGAGACTTGAGGATGAGAACTGACATTTGTGGGAACTGCTGGAGGACCTGAGGATGGCGTTGCAGAGCAGTAATGCGCGCTGCCTGGTACTACAGGTGAGTCAGAGGATTTGAAGGGGGCACTGCAACTAAGGGGGATCAATTACTAGATAAAGGCTTAAGGTAGAGGATCTCAATCATTAACACTTCTTGTATGTTTTACAATGTCAGTGTATATTAAAAAGTTGTTTCAGTCTTTTCTTTTGCAGCTTTTTTCATATATATAATACCTTGTGATCCTGCCATAAAAGTCCATGTTCAGGGACTTCCTATTAGGCTACATTCAGATAGCCAAATAGCAGAAGCCAGGTGCAGCCCAGGAGGAATCAGTAGATGCACACCAAGCTTTCCGTTTAAAAAAAAAAAATAGGGCTGCTCAGTCTAAAATGCCTGGGCCTATTTATTTGTCCAAGTGTGAGCCTGGGTGACACCATCAAGTAGGAAGTGATATAGAACCGTGATGGTGTCACCCCATCCGTGACAGCGCATCATTTATGGGGCCGGTATAGGGTGCGCACCGTAACTGTGGGCTGCTGGCTTGAAACTAGCCTGCCCACTGGGGATGACACCAACTCTAGTGACCCCACTGGTATCCCATGCTTCCTGCACCCCATCAAAGTTCATCATTCCAATAAGAGCTCAGAAAGACACCTCTAGATTGTTCCTTTGAGCCAGAGAGAGAGTGGAGAAAATACTGTGTGCCTAGCTGTGTGCAACTGGGGGAAAGGTACTAAATTCACCGGAGGTGCACTACATAAGCATGATTTTGTGGGTTGGCTACAAATGAGGATGTTGTTCCATGAGTTTGATTAAACGTGGGTATGACCAGTAGGGTGTCCTCGGATTTAATTTTCAAAATCTGATAACCTTAATATAGGTTATAGATGTACCCGCCAAAGAATCTGAAGTTTTCTTTAGTTATTCCTGAGATTTAAACAGTCCTGTCTGATAGCACAGTCAGGTTGGTGACCTACCTTTTTTTTTGTAACCACAACAATGCAATACAGTTTGGTCACATTCCTGCCCCCAACCTGTGATTGAATGATGAAGAAGCAGCAGCAGGTTACTAAGGTCATCACTTTCACTGTCAGCATTTTCTTTGTTGATGCATGCAACACTATACAATACTATACCTCAGAGCAAAAAGAGGAACAGAGGATTCTTTTGTTACAAAGCAGGAATAGTCCTTCCCAAATGAAGGCAATTAGGAGCTTCAGTATGTGTGACCATCATAAGGAGTCCCCAGTCAATATGTTTAATTGAATTATTTTCCATTATGGAAAATGCAATTGAAAGTGCTAAAACATGCAAAGTTAGGCGGGAGGCAATAGCTTTTTTGCATCCAATGTAAAGTGCAAAACTGCTTCGATATCACAAGGGTTCACAGCAATAGTGTATTTAGTTTATGTGCTGCCCTAGGCAACACTAAAGTTGGGCGCCCCCCCACCAGCACCCCCCCCCCCCAAGTTTCGCCATCACATCCCATCACCCGCAATATCCTCCCCCCCCCATCTCCCTGCCGCTCCCACCCACCGCCGCCACCGACCAACACACATCCCCAGCTGCCCCCCCCCACGACCACCCGATTCATGGACTAACCTTAACATCCGAAAGACGTTGAAAGAAGCAGCTGGCCATCCCCGCATCCTCCAGCAGTGTGCAGTCTCCTCCAGATCTCATGGCGGAGCTGACCAGGTCCCCATTCCTGCCATTTGTGTCCCTTCTTCCGGGGGACGGCATTGCCCCCTTAAAAATTCCATTGCGGTAAATACGCTGCTGGTTCACAGCCAATGCTTTTCTTTGTTAGGCTGATCCATACTTGAAGATATGTGTTCGTTACAGCCTGTGCTTACCATTAAAGTAATCACCCATTGTAGACACAAACTGCATGTATTTCAAAATGTTACTATTTGGATAAAATGCATTGTAGTCAATGGGGATGGCAAAATTGAGGTGCTTTATGTTAGTTTTTAAAGGGTGCAATTGTGCAATGGTTACAGAAGCTCCTTTCAGCTACTGTGGATCTGTTTTGTGCTTAAAAATGGACCCTTACTATATTAGCAGGAAAAAAGTAAAAATAAATATTATAACATGACTGTACACCAATAGCTATCAAATGCAAAAAAAAAAACACAGATGCAAACAATTAAATTCCCCAAAATGCACTCTCTCCCCAACAAAAAAAATTTCCTCTAAATAAAGAAAATCTAAAAAAAGAATAAAGACAAGTTTTCATGCAACTTTTCTTTAATAAGCCCAGTAAGTGAGCTTGAGAATTTTCACATTTTTTCTGCAGAAGTTCACAACAAAATCAGTTTTGCTAAAATGACTCCACTTATCGGTAGTGATAAACACATTGCCTCTTCTGAGGTACAAAGTGGAAAAGTGAAAGCCACAACCCTAAAGATGTACAAGGACCTTAAAAAAACAGAAAAAACAACTAAGAACATACCATTCTGTACATTATATTACAAAAATGGAGTAGGAAACCCACACAGTATACAGTAAATGAGCAAGCCAGGCTATTCCAGAAAAACACCAGAAAGTGTGTTTTTGAAATAATTCTCTACAAAACAAAGATCAATCCTCTATTAATGCAGCGGAGATCAAGCTATAGGCAGAGACCTCATATGACTCCTCAGAATGTGTTTTGTGGTTCACTGTTATGGTATTCATTTTTTGGAAACTACCTTCTTTGTCAAAAGGGTTTTCCACTTTCAGTAAGAAAGTGGGAAACCTTTCCACTTGTGCCCTTCAGCATAGAAGTGGGGTTTCCTCAGGAAACTCTTCATTCATCAGCTGGTCTGTGTAAAAAGAGCTTCAAAGCAGATTGCCTTGGCTCTGGTTTACACCATAAGGATAGTTGAGACAGCTATTGTAGAGCTCCTCTGAGCACTACAGCCCCCAACTTATGGGACTCACTGAACCCAGTGCAAAACATCTGAATAGGAATATGTTATTTTCCCATTTGTAATTCTCTACTATTGAAATACACTCACCAGCCACTTTATTAGGTACACCTTGCTAGTGCCAAGAAAATATCCCCAACACCATTACACCACCAGCTTGAACCATTGATACAAGGCAGGATGGATCCATGCTTTCATGTTCTTTAAGCCAAATTGCGACCCTACCATCTGAATGTCGCAGCAACCAGTCTGCTTATTCTCCTCTGACCTCTGTCATCAACAAGGCATTTTCATCAACACAACTGCTGCTCACTGGATATTTTCTATTTTTCAGACAATTCTCTGTAAACCCTAGAGATGGTTGTGTGTGAAAGTCCCAGTAGATCAGCAGTTTTTTAAATACTCAGACCAGCCCATCTGGCACCAACAACCATGCCACATTCAAAGTCACTTAAATCCCCTTTCTTCCCCATTCTGATGCTTGGTTTGAACTTCAGCAAGTCATCTTCACTA